TGGGGATACTCCCTGTCCCTAGGGGGTGGGTTCTGAGACCAGAAGGTCAGGTGACAGAGGGGACAAACCCTGCCTGGCAGCTCCCATCCCTCTACCTGGCCTCACTGGCCTCAGAGAATTACTCTGATCCCTTGACTGCTCCTGTTCTATTGTGCTGGGGAGGGGGACAGGAGAGGATGCTGGGGGGTGGCACCAGGCAGGGCATGGCCCACAGAGAGTGCATGTGCTGGGGAAATGGCTGCAGCCAGCCTGCGGGAAACCAGGAAACAAACTGTGTGGGTGAGAGAGAAGAGAGAGAGGAGCTAGGATTACTGTGTGGGCGGCATGAAGGAGAAAGACAGGGAAAGAAGGGAGAGAAAGTGCTTGGGTCTGTACGTGGGTGTGTGACAGTGGGCGTGCAAGAGGGGTTATGCCTGTAAGGAAGAATGTGTGAATGCAAGAAAGCTTGCAACATGTAGGTGTGTGGCAAAAGAGAACGGAGAAGATACCATGCCTTCAACCCGTGTGCATGGAAGGGCATATGTGTGCTCGTATGAGGAAGTGTGCCCATGTCTGCTTGCGTGTTTTCAGGTGGGACTCTAGCTCTGTAAGCAAATCTGAGGCACGTTTCCACATGTGACAGGTATGCCTGGGTGAGGAGGCCTTTGGGAGGGTGCCTCCAAATGTCTGAGGGTACCCACACATGTGTAGCTGTGTGAGTAGGTATGTGCGTGAGTGTTTGCATGCAAACATGGCCTGTATACATCATGTGTATAACGTGTGTTTGTGGACGGGTGTGTGTGCATGGTGAGGGCTATAGGACCCTGTGAGCATTACCCTCTTGCTACAATCACTGTGGTGTCAGGGAGAAGGAGGGGAGCGAGCAGCTTCCTTTCCAGTCCCTGCTGTCTGTCCTCTCTCCCATAGGCTTAAGGAACAGAGGCCTTGTCCTTGGTCCAGCGACCAGTGTCATCTCTTAACATGGGCGTGGGTTCATCTGCCTCAACAAAATAGACATGGCCAGGGGCAGAGCCCAGCCACCAATCCAGACCCACACCCCATCCTCCACCCAGAGACTCAGATCAGTGCCCACCAGAGCTGGAAAGGCCTTCGGATTCTGGACCCCCATAGCAACTGGCCACCAGCAAAGGAGGGGCTGGGTCTGCGGTGGGCCCCAGACCTCCCCAAGTGCATCTGAGGGGAGGGAATGTGTCTGGCACGGTGTCCCTCCAGCTCCCAGAAGCTGAACAACCTTTCCAGTCCCAGGTGGGTGGAAGAACAGAGCGTGCTGACTTGTCTCCATGGAGACAAAGCAGCAGAGAGAGTGGTTAGAAGCATGGGCCTAGACCTCCCAGGGTTCAAATCTCAGCTCTTCCACCTATAGGCTGTGCAACTTTGACCATTTACTCAAACACCTTATGTCTTAGTTTCCTCATCAGAGATAAGAAAAGTTGTTTTGGGGCCAGCAGGTGCCATGGTGGTTAAGGTGCTGGACTCCCACATGGCTGATCACAGTTCGAGTCCTGGCCCCAGTGGCTTACTTTCTCACTTTCTTTCTCTTTTTCTGATCAAATTAAAAAATAATAGAAATGATAAATAAAATCAAATTAAGAAATTTTTTTAAAAAAAGAAAAGCTGTTTAGAGGATAAAATTAAGTAATCCATACATAGCAGTGTATGGCAGCTGAACTGGGAGGCAGATGCCTGGGTTCCAGTCCTAACTTTGCCACCAATTTACTGTGTGACTTTGGATAAATTGCTTGCCATCTCTGGGCTTTGAACTCTCTGTCTGCACCTTATTGTCAGTGAGCTCTGGCAGTGATGAGCAGCTGAGACTTTGCGGAGAGGACGACCATAGCAGGGCTTCTCCTGAGGAGCTGGGGGCCAGCTAGTGCTGGCTGAAGCCTGATTGTGTCGCACTTCCCTTCCCGTGTACGTTCCCTGCCGTTGGCAGCAGTCAATGGCAGGACACTTGCCCACATAATTTCCTGCACCTCCTGCCATGCCAGCCTGCCATGGACCCCACTCTGCTTTGCTCAGCTGGTATTTAAAGAAATGAAGGTCTCTGCAGAGCCAAGGCAGAAGATGCCATGACCCACACTTAAAACAGCCCAGGCACACTGCGGAGAGGGAGAGGCAGGTATAACTGCGGAAGGATGGGTGTAATTGTCTGAAGATGCTTATAATCCTCTGGCAGTAATGGGAGGAAGCTTTAAAAGGAAGCCCTAATCCGCTAATAACCTGGCAGTCCCATAAGCTTCTTCCTTCTGTATCTCCGGACAGGGAGAAGGGACTCCAGCCACTCCCTTTCCCAAGGGAGCAGAAAGGCCATTGTGGGCTCTGACCCAAGCCCACCCAGATTTTGACTCTTCTACAAGACCTAGCTTCCGTCCTGCTTCCACTCTGTCTTCCTACCCCATTCCAGGAGGTCACCCCTGTCCCCTCTGTCCCTAGAAATATCCAGGCCAAAACTGAATGGCCAATGGACAGGATGTTACAGAGAGGAATGAACTAGGCTGTTTAAGGTAAGGACATGACCACTGTCTCAGCCCCGGCATTGGCTGTGTGATTTTGGGCAGGGGACTTAAATCTCTGAGCCTTGGTTGCCTCACTTGTAAGTTGGGGAGGATGACACATGCTTCGAAAAGCTATAATATCGGGCTGGCCGATGGCATGGTGATTAAGACCATTGCGTGGCCGACCACGGTTCGAGTCCTGGACCTGGTCGCTTGCTTTCTCCCTACCCCCCTCTCTCTGTCTAGTTCTGGTTGAATACAAAACATAATAATAATAATAATAATAATAATAATTTTTTTTTTAAAAAAGCTCTAATAAGATAACAAGAATGAGATTACTATCACATGACCAGCTCAATGTGAGATGCCAGCAGGGTTCATTAAAGGTAGGCCCTTCTTCTCTCCCCCGCCTCTGCGGTCTCCTCCACCCTAGGGTATCCACAGATAGTAACCTACCCTTACAATTCCAGAGTAAAGCAGTGGCTTGGGTTACAAGCGCCATACTCCGAAACCACATAGGATTCTGGCTCAGCAGCTTGGAAGCACGTGACTTGAACAAGTCATTTTTACTCCCTGAGCCTCTGTCTTCTCCTCTCTATAATGGGTGTAATAACAGTACCGCCCCCACGGGGATTACTATGAGGTTAGATAAAATGGTACATGCACAGTTCCAGCTGAGTGCTTAGAACATAAAGGTTAACCAGGAGCAGTTGCTTTGTTGAACGGATGATCATTTCAGCAACCACCAGCACCCTTCCTGTGCCTAGATTACGCTGAAATTTCCCTAGCACTGCCACAAACACGATCACCATAACCTCCCGATAGCTCTGTGCAGTAGACAGGGCTTATATTTGTATGCTGTTTTCACGAACGAAGACACTGAAACGCATCAAACGGAAGAGCTCTGCTAGGGCTTGGCCAGATTGGGTCCAGATCTACAACAGGATCAGGTCTCCCAACCCCGAGCCGAGTCCTGCTGGTGACAGGGAGGGAGTAGGTCCTGGGGGCTTGGACTCTAGAGGCTCAAATTTGGGCTGTCTCTTGTGTAAGAGCTGACCTGGGTCTCCCTGGAGTCCTCCTTCTTCCTGCCCCAGAGGCGCCTAAAGCCTTACCTTGCTCCTACCCAGCTCCCTGCGTAACCCAAGCCTGGGGGCAGGGAGGAAGCATGGTGGCCGTGGGGGTGATCTGAGCCTGGAGAGAATTATTTCAGAGAGGAGAGTGGGCGGGAAGGCTGGTGCCATGCCAGCCAGGGCGTCAGCGACGCCTGCAGAGAAGCGAAGTGTTCTTCAGTTCCTGACGCACAAGCCCTCCCAGGACGGTGTCCCCCGCACGCCCTGCACCCCCGGGATCGTTGGCAGGGCTCCCGCCTGAGCGAGCATGGCCACGCTCACGTCCTCCCCATCTGGACCCACTTCAGCGTTTCCATGGGCCCCACGGTGAAGGTGATTCAGTGTGGGTCTCCCCGGCCCGCCCTGCTCTGCAGACTACAGCTGCCCGCGGGAAACTGATCATCCTTCCTTCCTGCCTGCCTCCCGGGAGCTCCCCCCACACACTGTCACTGAATCTCACTGCAGCTCTGTGACACCAGTCCCGCCTTTGTCATCTCTAACAGATGGAAACCGAGGCCCAGGTGAGGGGTGTGGGCCCGGCCCAGCCACTAACATGCTGAACGACCTCAAGCAGTCTCTTCCTCAATCTGGGTCTCAGCTTCCCCATCTATAAAACGAGGAGGTCAGATTAGATAAAGGCTTCAGTCCCCCTCGTAAGCTCCTCGAGGACAGCAACCGATTCTATTCGGCCAGAACTAGATCCCAGCAACCCCCCCGCCCACACACACACACACCCCGAGTAGGCAGTGCCCGATACATCTGACATGGGGGTCCTACCTGTCCTTGCTCTCGAACCCCCTCGCATTTGTTCCCACAGTGATTAAAGGGCAGACAGGGCCAGCCAAGCGGTGTGGTGGTAAAGGTGGCTGGATCCCACGCGGCCGAGTGCATGGGTTCAGTCCCGGACCCTGCCACTTAGGAAATACACCGGCTGTGTGTGTGCATGCCCCAAATACTGAGAGAAAGATGGAGGAAATCAGCTTGTGGTATGGCCATCCCCCCGGCCCGAGGTGTGAGGGGATAACCTCTCACTTTCCCTTTCTTTTTCTCTCTCTCTGGTGAGTATACATGTCTTATAGCAAAAAAAATAAAAATAAAAAAAAATAAGGCAGAGTGCAAGATGGCTTTTTCTTTGTTAACCTGGCTGACAAAGCGGCTTCCTATTGCTGCCTCCTCACATGCCCTCTTCAGCAGGGAAAGGGGTGGGATAGATGTGGCACGGCCGGAACCACGTCACTCACAGGCTCCTGTCCCTCCAGCTGCGAACTGGAGCATGCCTGTGGGACTGCAGTGGGCCATTAGGTAGCATGGGAAAACACGGCCAGGGCCCCTGCATTCAGGACCCGTGAGGACTTCTGTGACTCTGGAAGTCCCAGGAGGAGGAATGTGCACTTACCTGGTTTCTGGGCCGCCCTGGGCCCAGGGCCAGGGCTGGGGCTGGTCGTCATCACTTGCCGGGCCTTCACCACATCCCAGTCCTGGCTGGCCCTGTCATCGTGCTGGGCACCGCCTCGTGCCTCCTGGGAAGAGCTGGGTGGCTGGATGCCGAGGGCTCTGGGCAACTGTGCTGCCCCTTGGGTGGCTCGACAAGGAGAGTTGTCCCCACTCCTGCTGGTCACCTCATCGTCCTCCAGATCCATGAACCCTGCCTCTCCCTGCAGGCCCTCCTCGCTGCTGCTCTCCTCCGCCTCCAGAGCCAGGCACCTGTAGCTCCCATCAGGAATCCGGAAGGCACAGGTGGCAGGCCTCCCTTCGCTGGGCCCCAGGGGTGGAGGTGGGAAGTGAGGGCCCAGCATGGTGCTGTGATGTGGAGAAGCTGGCTCCTGGGCCTGGGCTGGGCCTGGGCTGGGGCAGTCTGTGTGCACACTGGCCTCTGCTCCTCTCAGGCCACCCCTGGCTCTCTGCAGCTTTGTCTTCCTCCAATGGTCTTCCTGCAAGGATTTGGGTGAGATCCAGAGGGGGTGGGGGAAGACAAGTCCTTCCTAGGCTGCGTGGAGTGGTGGAGCCTCGATCCTCCTTCTTAACCTCTTCTCTGGTGTGCAAGGCCCCTTCTAAGGCGCTCTAGCTGCACGGGGAGAAAAGACACAGTACAGAGGACGCTCAGTAGGTGCTTTGGGCTGTGTTCTGAGACCCCTTCCTCCTCTGAGAGCCCTGAGAGCTGGCTAGGATCTGGGGTGCGGGTCCCACACTTCCACAGGAAGGTTCAACGTCTCCGATTCTCACCACATCCTTATGCTACCTGACACTGTTTACTTAATATCTTTCCTTCAATCAACTTTAAATAACTTACCCCTATTACTTTAGACTTACCTTGAGAAATAATTGCAGGAAAACCACAAGTGTATTGTGCTAAGTCACTTTCTCCCTATGGCACATTAAATAAATATCTAGTTATTTAAAAATGCTTATCTGAGTACCACCTAGAACACATTCTCTTGTATCCCACCCAAGGTACACACACAGCACGAATCCCAGGAACGGGGGGCCAAAGTAACAAGGCTGGAGACAGGGACCCCAGGGAGGGTGTGTACCGAGGTAGTGTGGCCGTGTGGTTCCAGGCAAGACCGTGAGTTAGAACCCCAGCTCTGCCACCTGTGCAGTGGTCGGCAAGCCACACAGCGTCTCTGAACTTCCACTTCCCCATCTGTCAAATGGGGTTTGTGGTATACCCAGCTTCGCATTGCATCGAGGGGCGAATGAGAAAACTTCACAGAACACTTAACGCCATCTTTAGGTTCTAACTCACTGCATGTTGGCTATGACCTCACTCCCCCAAGCTTCTTACACTCTCACTACATTTCAGATACCGTAAAAAATACTGGAGCCACAGTGAGGGGTAAAGATACGGTATTCTGAGTGCAGGACGCTTTGAAATCTGGTGAGGAGGGCTGGGAAGGGTACCAGGAGCAATAATAACAATGGTATGATTATTTATAAATGTTAAGAAGGCTGATAGTCCAGGGGAGAGGAGATGGAGGCTTCCTAGAAGGGATGGTGAGGAGGGATGGCTGGGAGGGATACTTGGGCAGAAGAACTGGCTGGGCTTGGAGGCAGCTGGAGGGTGGATGTGGAGGAAGAAGGAGGAGTCTAGGATGCAGCCCAGGTTCCCAGCTCCAGTGACAGAGTGATTTCACTAATAGAGATCAGGAATGAAAGCGAAGGAGCAGGTGTTTGGCGGAGCAGGGTGATGCGTCAGGTCGTGGACTTCTGGGGGAGATGAGCTGGGTCCACCCAGGGCCTGGAGAGCAGGAGAGAGTTCCAGGCTGGGGACCAAGGTTTGGAAGTTGCATGTAGAGACACAGGGTGGAGGTGAGTAAACTACTTCAGGGTTGGCAGGTAGCACTTACAACTGGGCCATGGAGGAAACCATGGGATGAATGGATCTTACTTAAAGACTAGATCCTGGGAACCAGCAGTTAGCGTAATGGCTATGTCGCTGGATTCCCACGTAGTCGACCGCGGTTCGTGTCCCGGACCCGGTGGCTTGAAACTCACGCCGGGCGCGTGTGCGTGCGTGCCCAAGATCCCGAGAGGAGAGTGGAGGAGAAGGGATTGCGGCGTGACCATCCCCCCTGGGGGGTGATTTCTCGCTTTCTGTCTCTATGTCTCTCTCTGTCTGTCTGGCGAGCGCACGCGCCCTACAGCGAAAAACCTCTCAAAATAAAATAAAATAACTAAAAAAAAAAATTAAAAAAAAAAAAAAAAAAAGACTAGATCCTATCACTACTTAGCTGAATAAATTTGGGCAAGTGTGAACTCTCTGAATCTCACTTATCCTACTGAAAAATAAGAAGAAAAGACCCATCCCCACACCTGCTGTGTATGTGTGAGTGCACACGTGCTCACATACACACACACACTGGTCTCCCATGGCAGTAAGAATCTTGAAAATTCTGGGGCCAGCAGATGGTGTAGCAGTTATGTTGCTGGACTCCTCTATTGGCAACTGCAGTTCAAGTCCTGGACCCGATGGCTTGAAAATAACACTGGGCACATGTGCGTGTGTGCCCAAGATCCCGGAAGAGAATGGAGGAGAAAGAATTGTGATGTGGCCATCCCCTCTGAGGGGTGATTTCTCACTTTCCCTCTCACCATCTATGTGTCTCTCTCTCTCTCCCCAGCTAGCGCACACACCACACCCTAAGGCAAAAACCTCTCAAAAAGAAAAGAAAAAAAAAAAAAAAGAATCCTGAGACTTCTGAAAGTCTATGGACGTGCGTCCATCTCAGGGCCTGGAATGAGGGCACCTCGGGGGCTGAATGAGGTCACCCCGGGGACTGTGCTCTATCACCAAGCAGGGATCAAGCACCCCTTGTTCCTGCCCCAGCTTGGTCAAGACCTTGACTACGGCTGGGCTGCACGAGGAGAGTCTGGTGGGCAGGTGGACAGATGAACGCATTACCAAGCCCTGGGGCAGTCTGAGCCAGCCAAGGGAAAGGCAAACACGCACCGGCCCTGAAAGATAAGCAGCACCTGCTACCCGCGTCAGCCGTGGGGAAATCGGGCGGAAGCAGCCACCCTTCCGACCCCAGGGGAGGACAGGCGCTCATGATGCTGGGCACCTATCTTGTCCTGGGTTATTGATTTAGGTTATCACAGTGAATTCTCAGAAGAACCCCCTCAAAGAGATACTTATTATGATCACTAAAGTAGCCCGAGAGGGGAGACGCAGCCAGGAAGACCAGACCCTCATTTCTCTAAAAGCCCTTCTTCCAGATGTTTTTCTACCTGATCCCCCCAACTTCCCATCGCAGGCTCTTCCCGTCTCGATCCTATTCAGAGTCTGATCCATTTGCCTAAAGTGCTGCTCTGAATGTGCTGCTCACCTGCTCAGGAGCGTTCCTTGGCTCCCCATTGCTCGTAGACTAAAAGGAAGTTGCGAACAAAGGGATTCCCATGCAGGTCTCACGATTCCCATTTCAGAGATGAAGACGTTGAGGCTCAGGCAGGCGATGTGACTTGCCTGAGTCAGACAGCTGCTCAGTGACAGGGCTGGGTTTCAGAACAAGCCCTAACACCTCAAGGTGACAGCAGACATTGAGTCACAGGAGAGGTGGCTTCAGGCCTTCCTGCCCCTCCAGGTACTGTCTCCCTCTCAGCTGCTACCCGCATTTCTGCCAGATTTCTGCAGTTTCAACTAATCTTAGAGTCTCATGAAGGGCTCTGGGACCCCAAGGAGACCCATTCAGGGTCAGCTTGGTGACTGCGTGACATGGCAGTTGCCGCCTACCCCAAGGCTGGGAGCCCTTTCCCCGAGGGCACAATGACAGGTTGATCCGGATGGTGCTGGAGAGGCCGCCTGAGGCGGGCATTGCAGGCATCCATGGTTCTGAGCACTTGAAGCCACCCCAACGCCCCTCTACCCCTACCGCACCCCCAGGGAGCCAGATGGCAAGAGGCAGAGGAGTGGGCAGGAGGAGGGGGCAGGGCTCCCTGACTCCTGCAGGGCCCCGCCTCACTATCCCTGCTTCTGTTTTGCTGTACTTGACAGTGGCCACGGTTTCCAGGAAAAAAGAGAGAGGCGGGAAAGTTAACTTTCCGCCACCCACACAAATATTTTTGGCCGGCGTTGTCTTCACGCTGCCAAGCCGGGAGGGAGAGTTGGCAAGCACACTCCAGCTCACAGACAGAGGACTTCCAGCCCAGTCGGGGGGCTTGGATGGGCCCTGTGGGAGCTGTGGGGCTCAGACCCCTAAGGATCATGGGGGCTGCCACCTACCCCGCATCTGTTAGGTGTGGAGTGAATGGGTGCCATGGACAGATGGAGAAACTGAGGCACAGAGCGTGCGCGCCACAGCTACATGGGCCATGGAGCCACATGAAGTGAGTCTGTGCTGCAGTGGTCTGTGCGCGGGCCTCCACTCTCAGGGACCCCCACCGTCCCTGGAGCTGTTGAGAGCTCAGACACAACTCAGAGGTCCGGCCCACCTGCCTCAGCAGAAATGGGGCCCCGACAAACCTCTAATGTCATTTCCCCCAAATCCATACCCCTCTGGCCACAGATTCTAAAGCATCCAAGCCTTGACCATGAGAAATGATAAGAGCCCATCGAACCTGATGGCCTCATTTCAGAGAGGGAGCTCTGAGCCCCTCGAGGGCGGGGGCTCGCCTGGGGTGTACGGCCACTCAGAGGCAGGCACTATGCTGGAACCCGGGCCACTCCACTCAAACTCCTCTCCTGAGCCTGTGCCCCCGAGGGGTCGGACTCCCCTTCTCCCTGCCCTTTACCCCTCTCCCCACAGCCCAAGCAGGGCCCTCAGGACCATCAGCTGCTGTCTACTCTGTCCGCCCTGAGGACCAGCTGAGATCACCCCCACCTGTTTCTGCCAAGGGTCCGCCTAGGGCACATGGCCTTGGGTCCCTCATGTCCCTTCTGCTGCTGTCTACATAGTGGGGGAAGGGCACTAGCTATGGATTCAGATCTGTGTTCCAGTTCCGTCCCCACCTCCTGGTGGCTGCTTGACCCTAGGCAAGTCCCTTATCTCTCTCATGGTTCCCCTTTCAGAGATGAAGACATGGAGACTCAGGCAGGCGATGTGACTTGCCCAAGTCAGACAGCTGCTCAGTGACAGGGCTGGATTTCAGAACGAGCCCTAATCCCTCAGGGTGACAGCAGACATTGAGTCACAGGAGAGGGGGCTCCAGGCCCTCCTGGCCCTCTAGGTACTGTCTCCCTCCCAGCTGCTACCCGCCTTTCTGTTAGATTTGCAGTCTTTCTACAAAACAGGACTTAAAAACACGCTTCCCAGGGTGGGTGTCAGGATGAGCAGAGAAAACACAGCCTGGTTCCTCCCCCGCCCCCCGCAGGGAGGGAGAAAGCAGTGCTGTGAGCTGCTCACCTGCTGGGCCCTGCAGGTGCTCGGCCAGCTGGCGGCAGGTCTCCGAGTGCTTGGTGCACACAGGCCAGGCCGCACAGGAGGCCACACAGGCACCCTGACCTCTCTCTTATGCTCTCTCTTGTCACCTCAGTATTCCCACAGCTACTGGAGCCTACCTGTGGCTACCTGAAA